CAGGCAGGCAGAAGCCCATTGTTCACCCAGCCAATGCTGGTGGAGGGCCTCTCCCCAAGCCCAGCAGGGCGTGGCGGTGGCCAGTGAGACCTGCAGGCCTCTCTCCTGCAGGGCTCAGTCAGGTAAAAGGGAAGATGGCAGAGAGGGAGGTCCACATTCCACCAACAGGAGGGAGAGGCCATGGGCCCTAGCATTAGACTCCCATTTATAAGACCCAGATGAAGCCCCATTGGCCTCCAAGAGGGAAGCTGTGCCCCCTTGCCACCCCCCACTATGTGCTGGGAACAGCTCTTTGCTTGAGGGTGCCTGTTGTCCTGGGATAAGTCCAGTCCTAAAACATATGCTGTGCTCCATCCTTTGCAGGGAGGTGAGCCTCAGGCTTTATGGGGTTTAAGGAGGTAGCCCGTTACTGCATGGCTGCTTGTGTTTCCAGGGTTCCAGGTGCTGTACTTAAGCAAGACCCACAGGGAAGAAACAGAAGTGCTTCTGGCTGTCTCTAGGGGAAGAAGAGCTAGCTGAGGGTAGTGACAAGGGAAGCAGGGATTGAAAACCAGCAACAAGTCTGAGTTTGAGGGCTAACAGCCTTTCAAGTGTTTGCAGGCAACAGCAGAGGGCGCTCTAGACCTCAGAGGGCGATGGCCCAGGGGTAGGAAGCGCAGGAAAGCTGCGTGATGGGCAGGTGATTAGCACTGGAGTGTCTCTAACACAATCCCCCCAATTCTGAGGGCCTGCACTGCAGGAGGAATGGCCCATCTCACGATGCCCCAATTTCACACCCACTTTGGTTTCTTGAGCTGTCACATGCTGAAGATAGCGTTCTCCCATAAGAAAAGGGTTTCTCTTTCCCCGCCTCCAGTAAATCCATGCATAGGCATTCTGGCACATATGTCCATTTTGTGTGATGTTTACAAATGTCTGCTCATCCCCAAGAGCTGAGCAACTCTGAGCGGACTGAGGCAATTTGGTTTTCACCTTGGCCAGTGGTGACTAAATCCACTTGCCACCTCTGATAAGTTCTGGCAGCAACTGGCTGGGGTTCCAGCATAGTGTCCAGAACCGCTCTTGCCCATGACTTCCAGGTAGATCTGACACAAATCGCCACACTTTCGGTAAGTTATTGCCCTCAGTTTCTCCGCCTGTAATGGCAGTGGCAACAAGTGACAGTCTTCTTGAGCCTTTGCAGTTGTGCCTTCCCCCCACCGCAGGAGGGGGTTATGGGAGAAAGGGGAATGTTGTGGAGGGGACTGGCCTGGGACAGACAGGTGCTGGGAATGGCGAGGTATAAGGTCAGGGCTCCCCATCCATGTTCTTTTCAAATGGCTGTGGGGTCACTCTGGGAGGGTGGGGTGGATCTGCGATGTCTGACTCTTTGCTACATCTGGTAGTATTTTTTTTTTAATTAGCACAATGTAATGTTCTATGTTCAAAGAACTTTAGGAGTAAGAACAGAAAGTTAAATATTTCAAAATACTAACAGTGTAATAATCACCCATACCCTCAGTTTGCTGTGCAGGTTTGTTTTCATTGGTCTTCTGAGCTCCACAGGCTATGAGGTGATATCATTGCTCCACATTATAGCCAAGGACACTGAAACCAGAGGCTGTGACTTGAAGAGTAGGCTTAGGATGGGGCCTGTTGCTGAAGAAGGTAAAGAGGAACAGGTACGCCCAATGCAGACTCTAGTCTACCCAGAAATGATACTCCGCCCGTGAATGAGCATGGCCTTTTTGGGTTAAATGAGTTAGCAAATACTAAAATAAAAATTATGCCTTACTCTAAAGAATCATGTTAATGACAGAACTTCTTACACAAGAAGGAAGAGAATTACAGAATCAGAAAATAAAATCCAACAATGTGGTGTTTATAAGTTACAGATACACAGCAAAATATGTACACAAATTTAAAAATTAAAATGCTGAGCTAAATAAACTCACATGCAAATGCAAATCAAGAAAAGCAAAGGGCTTCAATTAAGATATTTGGAAAAGTTTAAGCCAAGAAGCAGTAAAAGAGGCAAAGAGGGCACTAAAAGGCACAGTTTTTCAATATATCACTATTAAATATATATACCCCAAATACCATGGTACGTGCTTATTGACAGTTTATACCCTGCCTATTTCTCAAAAACGAGTTGAGATAATTGCACGACTAACATAGCAACACCGCACATATAGAAGAGGAACAGAAATGAAAGGGAAACGGAAATACATAGTGAAAAAACACAAAATCAGACTACAATTAGATCAGGTAAATGAGTGCTCCTAACCATTTTGGGGTCACGGAGCCCTTGAAAACTGTGTGTAATGGTACAGACCCCTCTTCCAGAACGATTCATTCATACACATGTATGCACACAGTTTTATTCAGTCCTTCGGGGCCCACGGTCTTTAAAACCCCTGCCTGCTCACAGGCTCCTAGGCAGTCCTTGGACCCAGGTTCAGAACTCTGAAGTGAGCAAAAGTTAGAGAAAATGTGAATTTGAATAAAATGGTTTAAAAACCGACTTAACAAATAGAGCTGATGTGGTAAGAACATTTCTTGAGAGTATACAAATGCTTTATAAAAACTGATAATATATTCAGGCCCCCAAAAGTTCTATGGCTACTTTGAAATGTTGACACCACAATCTAGTAAGAAACAACAGCAATGACTTAAGCATTCATCACTTGGGAATATAAAAAATAATAATATTTGGCCCAAAAGGAAATTCCTAATAACCAAAAAAAAAAAAAAAAAAAAAAGTTAAAATCATGGATTGCAGAAAAGGCTCTAACTGTAAGGAAAAAAAAACAAACCCATAGACCAAAGTACCCACATTCACTAGAAACATTAAAAATATGATTAACTAATAATTAATCTTAGAAATATAAAGTATTAAGCCCAAAAAGAAAAAAAACAGAACAGGATACATATACTTTGACACAACAATTCAATTAGTGACCACAATCAAGAGTTGGACCTTTATAACACACATCTGCCGTGAGGAAAAAACATAAGACAACAAAAACAACTAAATTCAGGGATGATTAACCTATTACAGGGCAATCTCTTATAACATTATGCTTAGAGCCTAAATAAAATAAATTTAAATATATAACCAAACAGTGAAAGAAACTGAAGAAACTAAGTTCTGCTTTCACTGCCAAAAATGAAAAGTACCTGGTCTTACCATGGTTACTGGAAAATCTGTCAACCCTTCAGAAAGGGGGTTTAATCCTGTGGCACATAAACTGTCAAAAGGAAGACAGGAGTCAGGTGGGGGGAGGATGAGAAAGTGCATAATCCAAAAGGTGGGAACAGCATGAAAGGAGCTGAGAGAGGCTGGGAATGAGCTGAGGACTCAGGCAGCACGAACTCCATGGGGCTCGCTCAGAGAGGGTGAAAGAGTTCAGCTGAGATGGGGGTTTATGTGCAGAAAAGCCCCGAAAGGTTGGCTTTAAAAAGAGCAGTGTCATGTGCAAAGTGATGCTTTAAAAAACTCTGTTTGGTTCAGGTGTACAGAAGGACGTGGAAGGAGACATCGAGGGTAGGAGGGAAACAGATGACTGCCTCATAGGGACAAAATGAGAGGGGTGCCAAGGAGGTAGATTGGGGGTGGGGGGTGGCAGCTGTCACCTGCACCAAGCAGGGGTCTCAGCATTCTCTCCTCACTCTTGGTAAATGACAGCAATGCCCAGGTGCCACGTCTGGTTGCTGGTGAAGCAGGTTCTGGGGTCCCTGGGGTGCTGGTTCAATATTTCACATACTCACACAGCAGAGAGAACTTGAGAGACCTCTGTAGCCATCAGACCAGTCCTTCTAAAATCTCTGGTTACTGCCCTGGCCAGATAGCTCAGTTGGTTAGAGCATTAAAAAAAAAATTTTTTTTTAAGTAATGAAATCTCTGGCTATCAAGCTCCACTTGGCTCTCCCATTTTATTTATCCAATTACCCATAACTGCCAAGCTGTGCTTCTGAAATAACCAGCTTTACCGTAATATGTTCATATGATTCCAGCCATAAACGTTTGGAAAACTTCAGAATAGCTTATCAGACTGCCTCCTCCCACACTAGCTGAGGATCGGGGTGGTAAAGCCAGTACTAAAGATCCCCAAGGCCACCCAAAGGCCTCAGGGCCTGGGACAATTACCAACTAGTCAGGCCTGGCACCGTCACTGCCGGAGCCCATTCCTGGGGGACTGAGACACCACGGCCACCTTCAAGCTCTCTTCAGCCAGGGCGAGCAGGCCTGATGTCAGGGAGTTGCTGGGGCTGCATGGGTGCCCAGCACAGGGCTCCCAGCCTGGATGTGCGCTGGGACACCACTGAGCCCCACCTCTGGGGGTGCCGCCGAGCCGGTCCCCGCAGGACCCATCTCCAGTAGAACACCAGCTGGCACCGGGGAGAACAGCGAAGGACAAGGACGTGGACCGTGTGCACTGCCGCCATAGGGAGGCTCCAGATGGCGCCCAGGAAACATCTGTGGGTAGGAGAAACATAGACATAGGGTGCCCCCAGCCCAGGGTGCGAGCCGGAGGGAGTATGGGAAAGCCTGGTTTAATGAGGGCCTGCTGCAAGCCCTGCCATTTCAGGAACCAGATGGGATGTCTCTCCAGGTTTCAGGGACAGTGTCTCGAGTGGGGTATCCACACTCGGTCACCAGTTGCCGAAGCATGTTCATATGTGGTCTCATTCTGAATGGGAGCCTTGCACCGATCCTGAGAAGTATGTGGCCGGGTCCCACTATCCCCATTTCACAGACAGGACAGTGGAGCCTTAGGGCTTCCTCAAGGTCACAGAGGTAGAAGGGATGGAACTGAGACTTGAACCCACATCTCTGATGGAATCACCCCACTTCCAGCATCCCCTCTACCCCAGCCCGATCCCACACTGGCAGGTGGAGAGGCTGCATAGCTGCCAGCCCAGAAATGCACCCTGCTGATGTTCAAGGCACACTGTGGTCTTGGGAGCCCTGGGCCTGGTAGAGGTCCTACTCCTAGAGGGCACTAATGCCTTGGGCCCGGGCTGAGTCAGAGCTGGACATCAAATGTCCTCTGCCCCGCAGGACCAAACCTCTGCTCTCCTGAGATAGAGACCACCCTCACTCTATGCAGAACAGGACTGAAAGACCACACGAGGGACTCGCGCCTGCACTCTCAGCCCCAGAACTAATCCTTCCAGGCACTCTCTTTATTCTGTATCCTGTTTTGTTGTCTCCATCAATGTCCAGGCCAGGCAGAAGATTCCATTTTGTGGCTGAGGTATCTACTTTTTGTGTTCGTTTTTCTTCAGCTAATTTGGACTGTGAGAATTGTTACTTCTTCTAAAAGTGCCAGACGGTAGCCTGATGTTAAAGAGTTCTCACCTGACATTTTCATGGATTCAACTCAACTTTCTCCCTCCTTACATTTATTCTTCTCCTGGATTCTGGAATAGAGGGAAACACTAAACCTTAAAGGTTTCGAAGCCAAATGTGAGAACAAGAGAACAGAAGGCCTGCTCTCTTTGCAGGTGCACAGCCATTCTGGTGGTCTTCCTATGCCCCCAACCCTCCCATTCATTCAGTAAACCTACTGATCAAGGGGCACCTGGCCACCAGGGGGCCTTGCTGCTGCTGTGGGCGTTCAGGAACGCCTAGGTTCAGCACTGTTATCAGAAAGGTGGGCAGGGCCTTGCAGCCAAAGTGACTGGGTGCAGGCTCCATCTGGGAAAGGCTTTCCAGCTTCGGAGTGAGCTCCTCCTTCTAGAGCTTCTCCCCAGCATGGATTTTCTGATGACGAATAAGGTGTGAGCTCCCCCTGAAGGACTTGCCACATTTGTTACACTCATAGGGTTTCTCTCGGGTGTGGGTTTTATAATGTTCAATAAGGGCCGACCTGTGCCGGAAGGCTTTGCCACACTCGTTGCACGCATAGGGTTTCTTCCCGGTGTGGATCCTCTGGTGCTGAATCAGCGCAGAGCTGTGGCAGAAGGCCTTCCCGCACTGGCCGCATTCGTAAGGCTTCTCCCCAGTGTGAATCCGCTGGTGCTCGATGAGGGAGGAGCTCTGGCTGAAAGCTTTCCCACACTTATGGCATTTGTAGGGCTTCTCCCCAGTGTGGGTCTTCCGATGCTCAATGAGGTTGGAGCTCTGGCTGAAGGCCTTCCCGCACTCTTCACATTTGTACGGTTTCTTCCCTGTGTGAATCCTCTGGTGCCGAATGAGGTGGGACCTGTGACAAAAAGCCTTCCCGCAGAGATCGCATTCGTGAGGTTTCTTTAGGGTGTGGATTTTCCGATGCTGGCTCAGGCCCGAACTCTGATTGAAGGATTTCCCACATTCCTTACACTGATAAGGTTTCTCTCCGGTATGAATTCTCTCATGTTTTCTGAGACTTGAGCTCCGACTGAAATCTTTCCCACATTCCCTACATTCATAAGGTCTCTTCCCAGTGTGGGTTTTCTGATGTTGTGTGAGGGCCGAGCTCTGGCGAAACGCTTTCCCACATTCTGGGCATTCATAGGGCTTCTCCCCGGTGTGGATTATCTGATGCCTGAGAAGGTGCGAGCTCTGGCTGAAGGCCTTCCCACACTCACAGCACTCGTAGGGCTTCTCCCCAGTGTGGATCACCAGGTGTCTAAGAAGGTGTGAGCTCTGGCTGAAGGCCTTCCCACATTCCCGACATGCATAGGGTTTTGGTGGTTGTGCAGTTCTGTGAGGTTCATTAGGTCCTGAGTCCCTCCTACCTATTCGGTCACAGTCATGTTTACTGGGTTCTTCACCACCATGGATTAACTGACACATACTAAGGTCTGATTTCTGGAGGAAGGTTTGGCCAAATATTTCATCATCCTGAGGTTTGTTTACTTGGGGGAGACTCTGATGCTGAACAGGGCTTGAGCACAGACTGAAATTCCCCTCATAATCTTCATGTTCCTCATTTGGCTCCCCAAGAGGGATCTCCTTATAGATAACAGCCATTTGCTCTAAACCTCTTTCCTGAAGAAATGAGTCCCCCAGGTCCTCCTCTGGGAAAAGTTCTTGCTGCATCTCTAACCCATCTTCAAACACAAAGGTCTCACCAAGCTTGGATGCTGGGGGAACCTCCATTGTGGATCTAGTATCACCCCCAATGACTGTATTTCTTGAAAGATGTTCTTTGGGATACACTTACTTACTGTTCTTACAATCTGAAAAGAAAACAAGGAACACGGTAAATCTGGCAAGTCAAGTACCTAATATATGCATCCCTCTGAGCCAGAAACAATGGTAGATATAACAAAATAAGGATAAGAAACAATCTTGCCCTTGAGATGATCCACACTGAGTTAGACAGATGTTTGATTTATCAGAAACAACTGCAAAAAAGAAAATACAGAACCAAGCAGCACAGCATGGTGTCTAGACTCTAAAGGCTGAGGATGTTCAGAAAGGTGGGCTAGAATAGGAAGTGGGGCCATATGGAAAAGAACCAATACCCCGTTTCCTGGAAGATGTTGGAGAGGGGGTTTTGTTGGGGGCGGGAGAGAGAGAGAAAGAAACTTTCTTCCTTCTGATGCCCCAGCCAGAACTCTGGGAGTCAGCCTAGACCACCGTCCTCTCTCACCCACATGTCCTGTCCTGTCCACTTCCTGAGGTTTTATTGAAGGGGTCGCTGCCTCTCTGTCTCTGCTGCCATTCTGCAGCTCAGGCCTCAGTGCAACTCCCCGACATCATTTCAATACTCGCCTCCCAGCTATCTGCCTACCTCCAACTTTCACTCCTTTCTCTGGGCTGTTCTCTGCATTGACACCAGTGACAAATACTCAAAGCACAGGCCTGATTGTGTCACTTCTCTTCTTAGATCTTGTGACAGCTCAACTCCTGCACAGGACCTTCAGGGCATGGCCCTTCCAGCCCAGCCCTTCCAGCCCATCTCCTGCCTCTCCTTTCACACACCCCTAACCTACCAGCTCAATAACTCATTTGTGCTGCTCTTTCCTCTGCCTACCAGGCCCCTCCCCCTTTTCAGACTGCCACCAGCTCATCCTTCCAGACTCAGTCCAAACGTTCCCTCTTCTCTACACCATCAGACTGATGAAATTAGGCACACTCCCTGGTGACCCACGGGCTTGGTGCACACGTCCACCAGGCATTCACCACCTCAGCAAACATGGGTTGACAGGACTCTCCCCACCACTGCCTGTGAGCTCCCTAAGGGCAAGTCCTGTGATCCTTCATTTTGGAGGCCCCACCCCTGGGCACAACTGGACAATCTCTACAAACACACTTGTTGAATTACTAGATGATTGAGTGGAGGAAAAGCCATCTAGTTTTGTGCTAGAACTGACTGTTATACTTGAACTCTTTATTCAAAAAAATCAATTCTCAGGGAGATAAAAAACAATTTAAACAGAGAAGAGCATGACTGCTCCAGTTGAAGGGGGTATTTTTGTAGGAGCAAAGAAGGAGGCTAGAACACTCCCACTTAGCCCCCCATCGCTATGGTGGGGTGACCCCTGAGGGAGGCTCTCGGGACCTCATCCAGAAACTTCTGTGTAACTAAAGGGAATCTCCTAGGTACCATAATGATAACAGTTCATGTTTCTTGATCCTCTATCTGCTCTGTACTAGGCTCTATTAGACCTTTTATAAGCAGCTCTCATTTAATCCTCACAACTCTATACAAAGGTACTATTATCCTTACCCTGAAGCTTAGAGAGTAATTGGCTCAGAAAAAAATTTAAATTAATTAGAATAGTCACAATGGAACTCATTTCTATTTGGAAATATTTTTAAATTAATTTTCAGCCACTCAAATGATTTTTCTTTGCCCATTTTAGCTCCTCTTCCCCTCCTCTTCAGCAATCACAATCTCCAATCCTCCCAGTTCTCTCACTCAACCTCATCATATCTAACATCTCCCCATTGTCACCTCAAGCTCCTCTTTAAAAAAAAAAAGTTTTACTTATTTTAGAGAGAGGGGAAGGGAAGGAGAAAGAGAGGGAGGGAAACATCAATGTACCAGATATGCATTGATCAGTTGCCTCTCCCTTGCCCCCAACTGGGGATCGGGCCTGAAACCCAGGCATGCACCCTAACGGGGACTCGAACTGGCGACCCATAGGCCTGCAGCCCGGCACTCAATCCGCTGAGCCACACTGGCCAGGGAAATGCTTCTCTTCGGTTCTACCCATTCCCATCTAGCGTAGACACTGTATCTATAGTGGGTCTAACTACAGACATCACTTGAGCTCACTCTCTGACCAGCATCACATTCCTCACCTCCTTGCCCTGCTGCAACCAACCACTAATTCCTCCTCTACCAATTCCTCCTAAAATGTTAAATGTTGCCAAGGAAAAATCATACGACTGTGTGATTTCAAGTTTCCAATTTCGGCTGGAACTCCAGCACTCAGCTCCTGCATCCAATGACCTCCTTACTGCCAATCCCTCTCTTCTCAGTCCTCGCTTCCCCACCCCTTCTGGCACCAATACCTCCTTCTCAAAACCCTTCATTTGAGAGGTTGCAAGTTGGCAGCCTGGGGATCCTGCCACAGACACGTTTTGTCTGGCTCTCCAAAGAGTTGGGCTTTTCCTTTTTGTTTGACTTAGCTGCCAATATGGAAAACTCACGTTTCTGGCTTTCTCTAAAAAGACTGGAAGATGTGACAATATGCACCCCCCCCCCTTTACTAAGCCCACCTTGCCTACCTGGATGCCTCAAGGCTTTGAGCTTGCTGGACAAATCACCCCCTAATCCTATGCCCCCAGTTTATTCCTTTGGTTTCTGAAGGGTTCCCTCCGCCCCTTTTCACTCCCTAGATCCCTCCTTGGTATCGGTGGACTGCAACTCTTCTTGCACCCACCTGTTAAATCATGGTGTTTCCAAGGTTTCCTCCTTAGGAGTTTTCCATTCCCGCTATGTACCACCTACACCCTGAAGTCTCCACTCTGTTTAAAAAGTTGGCAATCCGTTATCTGTCCGTAACAATGTTTTAAACGTTTTTAGATCGAAAAGCCAAAGGTATGGAACCCCATGTTTCCCACCGTTCTCGGGGCCTTCCCCGGCTCCTCCGGCATCCGTCACCCCATCCTCTAGGGAGTCCACAGGGCCAGGCACCAGGCAGACCCACGGTCCGGTCAGGGTTTCCTGGCTGGAGGACCGCCAGCGGCCGCGGGCCAGCATACGCCGCCCGGGCGGCGACGCCGGTACCCCAATATGCTTCCCACTAATGGGGACGCCCGCACCCCGGACCACCGGAGGGACAGGTGGAACACTGGTTGATGCGGAGCTACTCACCTGGGCCTGGGCGGGGCCGATCACCTAGGCCGGGGCGTGGCCGCGGGCGGGCGGGGCGGGGCTGCACCTGAGCTGCTCCAACCCGCGGCCGACCGGCCTCGCTCCCCGGCAGCTGCTGACGCGGAGCCCGTGGCGACCCGAGAGCCCGGAGCCCCGCCCCCAACCCGCGGGCACTTCCGGGACTGCTCTAGGCCGCGCGGAGGTCCACGCGTCTCTGTGGTCCCGCCGAGCCGGGCGTCCCCGCGCGTAACCTCCCGGCTCCGCGGCTCAAGGACGGGGATCCCCAGAGTCTCTCAGTTCTGACACAGTGGCTCCGGGCTGCCCCCGAAGTGCATCCCAGCTGGGAGGAAAACAGCTGGGCAGGCCTTGGCGGGAGTGCAGGGGAGGAATCTGAGGCCGCGGCAAGCAGAAGGCCCATACCCGCCGCACTTTTCCCTGACGGTGGGGGCAAGCCAGGGGCTTCCGGGGCGTCTGGAGTGTTCAAGAGACGAGAAGGGGATCCCAGAGTGGAGCCCGTAACCTCTCAGGCCCAGGGGTCCTGTAAGGCTTCATCCTTCCTAGTTCTTCTGCCTGCCCACCCTGCCACCACAGAGACGGAGTTGAGAGGAAGGGCCTGTGGAAGGCCTCGCAGATGGCTGGGGCTGTAGGCCGACCCTCTCTGGACTCGGGGTATTTGAGGGATGACGTTCAGGCATGAGGTGTCTCAGAGAAACTGGGGGGCAAGAGGGGTGTGTTCTTGAACCCTCCGCCCCACTCCCAGATGCTCAACTTTGCTTCTGACCGCAAGACTTGCCTCCCTCCCTTCAGTGCTCCCTCTGGGCCCACCTGCATGTGCGAGGGCCTCCTAGGATTGGGGGAGGTGTACAGCCCTCTCATGGGAGACCAGTAGAACACGTGTTTCTGAGAGGGGGGATGCTTTTCACTCTGCCCCTGCCATTTGCCCGCCTGTCTTCAGCACCCTCCACCCTGGCCTTCAGGTGCCTCTCAGTGTCCCTACACACACACACATTCACACCTGCCTTCCTGCCCCATCAGAGACTAGACAGGGACTGTCCCTCCCCTACCTGGCAACGTGAGCTCCATGGAGACCCAGTTGTCACACAGTGAACATTGGACCACAACCACCCATGCAGAGCTGGGAGTGGCAAGGACTGGTTCCTTTTTTCTCCCTCCAGCACCTTGGGTCACAGGAAGTCCAGACTACCATTCTGAGCCCCCTGGGGGCCAGTAGAGAGGCTGGACCCTGCCCCCAGGGTCTCATGTTCTTCCTCTTTCGCACCAAGCCCCAGAATCCCTACCCTCCTCCACCCTCCCAGATGAACCACAGTCACTTTTTCAGCAGGGATCTCATGGCCCTCAGAATAGTTATTATTGACATGCTGGATACTATTGGCCCGTTTTACAGAGGAGAAAAATCAAGGCTCAGAGAAAGTTAGAGAGGGCCTAAGATCAGGGACAGAAGTGGAGATAGGAGGCATTCATCCCACACACCACCCCTATGACATGTAGTTCACAGAGCAGTAATAATCTGCATCATCTTCAGGCTGCACAGGACTGATGATCAGGATGCAGGCATTGTGGGCTGCGTCTGTGGCTGCTGAGAAACGATCAGGGATGTCTGGGGAACGGTGGTGGTCATCCTTTGAACGGTAGTAGAGGAGATAACGGGGGGCGCTTCCTGCTCGCTGCTGGTACCAAGACACGCCATAGTCCCCGATGGTGGCATGGCGAGGGCTGAGCATGCAGGATAGTTGGGCCACTTGGCCTGGGAAGACCAACAACGCATCTGGCTGGGTCAGAGCTGGCTGGGAGGCTGAGAGAAACAGATCTGCTCAGGCCTGGCCTGGACCACTTCCCTTCCACCCCCGCCTCATGAAGTTTTGGTCACACTCCTAAATGACTCCTATTCCTAAAGGGCTCCTGGCCTGGTGCCATGGCATCGACACTGGATGGGGTACCAAGCTGGCGACTCATAAGTCCCCATTAGTCCCATGTTCCCAAGGATCACGAGGGCCTAGAGTTTAAAAGGTGGGACTGATGGCCTCTTGTTCCTTCTGTTGTTCACTCTCACCCCTTGCCCTGAAGACCCCTACCCCTTGGTCACACTGGCTCTTCTAAACCCTGGCTACAGACTAACCATTTCCAGGAAGCTTCCTGGGCTGTATCACCCATCAGCTCAGCCTCAGGCAACTGGATGACGTGCACCTTTTTGTTCCTGAGGCCGTGTGAGGTGAGGACCAGCCCACACCAGCTTCCCCTGTGAAAAACTAAAAAGATAACCGGCTCCAGTCCCTTCTAAGACCCCAAAGTGTCAAAGTTCAAAGGGAGCCTGGTGATCTGCTCATTCAGAAATGGAGAAACTGAGCCCCACACAGAGAAGCGACCCGCCCCGGGTCTAGGGCAGAGCCACCAGTAGCCATTTCTCTGTTCTACCTCAGAGCCCCTTCCAGCACCCTCCCACTGGTCATATCAATTTGCTTCCTTGCAGGGGCTCTCCAGAGCCAGTGCTGTCCCCAACCCCACCCCTAGGTGAGCCAGGCCCAGGGAGGGCTCACCTGCCAGGAGGGCTCCAATCGGAAGGAGGGCCAGGTACCACCAGGCCATCGCCATCGCCAGAGGCAAGCCGGAGCTGTTCTGTTGGGCGTGCTCCAAGTGCTTCAGGGCGCAGGCAGGGGAGGTTACTGGACCACAACAGGGCATGCAAATCAGCCCATTGATTGGTGGGGGGAGGCAGTGGCTGGGGCCCAACTGCCAGGCCCCATCTTCCCAAACGTGAGCGTCAAGACCTCACAGGGCCTTCTGAGAACAGGAGCTGAAATCCACACATACATTATAGAAGGGGGCTGCTTTTATATTGAGGTATGCCTCACATATGATGAAGTGCATAAACCTTTGAAGTATGGCTTGATGATTTTATATATAAGATACCCACTCTCACATACACTATACTCCTGCAACTTCTACCCAGATCAAGATTTAGAACATTTCCATCTCCCCAGAGCTCTCTCTCATCCCCCTACTTCTCCCCACCCCCAACTGTAACCATCATTATGACTTCAATCACTTAGATCAGTTTTGTGTGCTCTAGAACTTCTAATAATGAAATGCTAGTGTGTCCTCTTTTGTTCAACATTATGGTTATCATCCAGAATGTGCAGTGATATTTAATTCATTCTAATAGCTCTGTGGAATCCATTGTGTGAATTAGTTTATCCATTCTCCTGTTGTTTCCTGTGCTTTGCAGTCCTTGGCCTTTACCAATAAAACTGCTGTGAGCAATCCTGTCAATGTCTTTGATGCACCTGTGTTTTCATTTCTGCTGGACAGACGCCCAGCATTAGAATTGCCTGGGGGTAGGGAACATGTACATTTAGCTGTCCTACATAGTGCCAGCGTTCCCACCATGCTTGTACTGATCTACGCTCCCACTGGTGGGTAGGTGACTTCACATCCGCACCAGCACTTGATGTGGTCAGTTCCTTAATTTGCCAGATGGAGAGGAGCTGATTGGTTTGGGTTCAGTTTCCTCATCTGGAAAATGAAGATAAGCATAGTGCTAGCTCAAAGACTGTGAAAATGCAAAGACAGGACTATGTGCTCAGTGCCAGGCATGGTGCATGTATTAATCATGTCTTTTATTTTCTGTATTCTGATGCTTTGACATCTGGGGCCTTGCCAGCCTTAGAGGACTGGCCGTCCCAGGGTGAGCCAAATCCTAGAGATACTTTCCAAATGCAAACCAAGCAATCCTGAGCCCACACTCCCAGCTTCCTCCTTTACTGAGCTCTCTCCCCTCCTGCCCGAACCACCCAAGTGCCAATCGGGAATAGCCCCTATGCCCTTGAACCTTCTGAAGTTACTCTTTAGACTGTTCCTTCTCTACGAAATGACAATGAAGGCTCCAGCCCACAATTCCCCCCATCCCTGTGCCTCCTGATGACCCTGATGCTTCTGCATGTGGCTCACTCCCCAGGGACTTCCCCATGGGGGGGCCCCCTCTCTTGGGGACTGTAACAAAGTATCTTCTCCATGGCAATCATCTGCTTTACCAGACCTAAATAATAATAATATACAACTAATTGAAACGGTGCACTCTCATTACCCCTCAGCCTGAGAGCTACCTTGGGGATTGTTATAAACCGCTCCCCCAGCATGGGTCCCACTGCATTCCTAATACCTCTGCATCTCCATGACCCTCAAGATAAATGACCCTTCAACTGCACTGAAGACAAAGCCCTCTGATCACAGAATGACGATTGTCAGAGCTGAGGCTCCAGGGCCCAGGGTGGCCAGTCCTTCAGAATCTGGCTGTAGCCACCCTGAGCTGTGTTCTGCAGAACTCAGGTCCCCACATGCAGTGGTGTCCCTGGAATAAAGTGCCCTGTGAAGTTTGGGAAATGCCACCTGTTTCCGCAGCGCTGATCCTGGGCACTTGGGGAAAAGGGAGCTGGCAAGGGCTGGGCAGCCTGGCTGGTGGGGCTCATAGAGAGGGGGCAAGAGACAGAACTGGAGAGAAGAGGTGATAAGGGAGAAGGAAAGAGGCAGGATGATAAAGTGAGCAGAAGAGGGAGAGGGAGAAGAAGACAAAAAAGATGGGACACAGATGGAGAGACAGAGAAACAATGTGAGGACACAGAGAAGGGGAGAACAAGGGAGAAGCAGAGAGGAGGGGAAGGAGGAGAAGAGAGCAGGAAAGATAGACAAATATGAGGCTGGGAAAGATGGTGAGACAGGGGGAAGAGAGAGGGAGGTGGTGAGAGGGACAGCCGTGAATCCGGGAGGCCTAGCCACCACCAGACAGAAAGAGGGACAATGAAAAATGGTGTGGCCATGCTGGAAAACATTGGCAGTTTCTTGTAAAGTTAAACATAGTCTCATCATATGACCCAGAAATTCCTGCCATGGCATTTATCCTAGAGAAATGAAAACTTCTAGCCACACAAAAACTTGTAGGCAAATGTCCATACTGGCTTTTTCAGAATTGTCAAAAAACTGAAAACAACCTAAAACTGCAGGTACATGGGTCAACAAACCGTGGTGCGCCCAGACAATGGGATGGGACCCCCCGCCAGTGGTAATAAGCAAGAATCTATCTATCTATTGAAGGAACAAACTGCTGATACACGGGACCACCTGGGTGAATCTCAGATGTATTAAGCTGAGTGAAAGAAACCAGACCCAAAAGGGTCCGTACTGTATGATTCCTTTTATAGCATATTCTGGAAAAAGCAGTGCTTGCCAGGGGCTGGAGTCGACTCCAAAGGGGCATAAAGACATTTTGGGAAGTGATGGAAATGTTCTGTATCCTGACTGTGGTGGTGGTTTTTGAGATTTGAGATTTGTCAAAACTCAAACACTAAAAATGGTGAATTTTACCGTATATAAATTTTACCTCAATAAACTTAACTAAAAAAAAAACAACAACACAAGAACAGAAGAAAACAGGGGAGCCTGGGAATGAGGAGGAAGGCAGAGAGGAAAGAACATGGGGCAGAGATGGGAGCCTTGAGCTGGTGGGGAGCCTACAAGGCTGGTGAAGCCCCATGTCGGCGAGGGCCCCTGGCCAGCTACCAGCTCACGGTGGTGAGCCCCCGCTGCCCCGCCAGGAACCTCCCCTACTTTCTGTCTGGGAGCTCGGTCTCTACGGGAGGGAGAATGTGGTCTCTGGACATCCCTAGAAACCGAGGCTCCAGGCCCCACTGTAGCCCTGCCCCAGATCCTGTTACCAGGATACTGGGGGGGAGGCATTTCCTGCCTGGACGTCTTCGCAGCTCCCACTGCCATGGAGACCAGCTTGGAAGCTGGGAGGGCCTGTCTCCTCCTGCAATTCTGACCCAGCCAGCAGGAGGAAGAGGAGGCCAAGCGTCCTGGACAACTGCAGGAGCCCAGCCCCAAGGATGACCAAGTAGGGACTTCAGCCTGGAACTGTCCACCCATCACCTACCCCTCACCCACTGATCCACCCACACACACACATATATCTCTCTGCAGGGCCCAAACCCTGAATAGATCTCAGCCCCAGTTTCTTCCTTAGTCAGAAGTGGGGGTACCAAAGCCCCCACATCTGTTTCCTCTCCCCTGCAGCCATGTTTATCACAGTGATGTTTGGAGGTAAGTAAGGTCCCCTGTCCCAGCAGGTGGATTGGGAATGGTGTGCTCTGCTAGCTTCCCCCTGCCCTGGGGAGGGGGAGGAGGCAGGGTGGGGAAGGGGATGAGGGTTTCGGGGAAGGAGCTCTGTGCGGAAGCAGAACTAGTGCCTGGAGTGAGTTTCAGGAGAGAAAAACCCTGGCTGGGTACCAGGAAATTCACATGGGCCCCTCTCCTAGAGCACCTGCCTTGCTACTCCCTTGGAGGATGTTTTTAAACTGCATGATTTCTTGGCTATTGATTCAGTCAGTGGTCCTCAAAGTCCAGGGTGCATCAGACACCTGAACTCCAGCCACAGTGACAGGTTCCCAAGCCTCCAGTGGGAGGGGGTCTGCTGTGGGCAGAGGGCTGGTGCAGGAGGCATGAGTTGTGCACCCATCGCTGACATCTTGGGAGGCGGGTGATGGGGGTACAGGAGGTCCCGCAGCCCTCCTCCCTGCTGTGACTGAGAGATGGGAGAGCCACTATGCTGCACACCTGAAACTAATACAAAATAATATTGAATGTAAACTGTAATTGGAACAAAGAAAAGAAAAAAGTTAACTGGTTAGTGGGTACATTGTTTACTTTGGGGGGTAATGAAATATTTCAGAAATAGAGGTGATGGTTATACAACTCTGTGAATGTGCTAAATGCCACTGAATTGTACACTTTGGTTAAAATGGTGGCTTCTATGTTATGTAAATTTTACCTCAATAAAACAAATCACTTAAGTAAGAAAAAGAGAGAGAGAGACAGACAGACAGACACAGATGGGAGAGGCGTATGGTCCCAGATTGGGGGGAAATAGTCTCATTCGCTCACCTCTGCTCCTCTCCCACAGCCGGCTGCCGGGAGCTGGTGAACCCCTGGTGCAGCCTGGTGACTCTCACTGCCCACCTAAGGCAGAAGGGGCGGGTGTCTCCGGATGGTGAGGGGGCCGGGAGGGGTGGTGGGGCGGGGCCCCGGCTGCAGGCATGGGTACCAGCCCTGCCCTGCCTCCCTCCCTGCCCTCCCAGCGACCATCGGCCTCCTGGCTGAGGATGGGCACCTGGTGATCCTGAGCAGAGACCTGGAGGAGGGAGCTTCCCGGGCTCCCTCCACAGGCAGCGCCCTGCTGCAGGAGCGTGGGAACTATGTCCTTGTGCAGATCATTCGTAAGTGGGACCCCAGATCTGCTGGCCTCCACTTTGCCTGAACCTAGCCCTGACCCTTTTATCCAATGCCCTATCCTGACCGCAGCCTGAGCCAGCGAACAGGTCTATAGCGAGAAGTAGGGGCTGGTCAGGAGTCACTCTTCCTCTCCCAACAGATGGGGAGGGTGGGGCCCCCACTCGCTATGAGTCCCTCCTGGAAAACCTGGATGACTGGTGTCCAGAGCTGGCAGGTGAGTATCACGGTAGAGCCCTGGGGTGGGGAGGAAGCATCTTCTCCCCAGCCCTGACAGACAGGGCTTCCTGGGCCTTCCAGATGATCTGCGCTGGCTGTCGGGCCTACCCACAATGGGCAACAGACGGAGGAGGCGTACTGGCACTCGGCGCGGCCACCAGGAGCAAGGCCCTCCTTCAAGGCCCCAAAGGCTGGGCTCTCTGCTATCCAGGACCCGCTAGCTGGGGCCGGAAGCCAGGTAAGAAGACATGGATACCTGGGGGACATTCACACCCAGAAGCGGGGCCCTTTCCCAGGAGACAGGCACCTGTGTACTGAGAGAGGTGGGAAGCCTCCACACACACACACATACACCTGAAAGGTGGAACATACTGTACCCAGGGACAGGCAGCCACCACCCCACTTGAGTATAAGTGCCCAAGGGCAAGACTATCCTCAGTGTCCAGGAGACAATATCCTTTTCTCAGTGGCATAGGGCCTGGCATTCAGTAGAGGCTCGAGGCAGAGCTGCTAAATGAATTCCATGAAGGCAACAGCACAGCACACATGGTGGCGGGGCTGGTGCTAGGTTTCAAGGGCCTGTTCCTCTGTTCTGGCCGGCCCCGTGACTTGGTCACAGCCTAGTGGCCAAGCTGGACTCAGATCCGAGGAGACTGGCCGCGACCTCTGCCTTGTGTGATCAGGCTCAAACAAACAGCGGCCCAGCAGCATTCCTCTTTCGGAATCTTGAATTATTGAGTTGTATCAGAAAGAAAGGCAAGGTCACAGACAGGATGTGAGGCCACCAGAGACCTCTAAGATGTGGGTGCAGAGAAGGGGACTGCGAGGCAGAGACAAGAAAGGTGGAGGGAGCATGCCTCCCTGAGAGCGGAGACAACCAGGATTCCAGCTCCCAGGGTCAGATGCCCTTGAAATCACCTGCTAATGCCTCACCATCCGCTTTCACAGCCCAAGGCTGTGGGATTGCAACAGGGCTCCTCCCTCCCCACCCAGGAGGTGAATCATCCCTACCACCTCTTCAACCACGGTGCTCCCGGCAGACAGGCCAGTGAGAGGGTACACAGCAGGCTCTGGTCTAAAATAAACTCTTTTAATTGCACATTTGTGTCTCGGGTCATCTGCGGGGTGAGAAACCCTCTCTTTACTCCCAGTCCCAGCTTCTCGGATACATTCTGGTGTTGTAGCCTGGCTGTCGGTGAAGGGGTGGAGGTGAGTGCAGAGCTGGCTACTGAATCTGCTCCAACCTGCACCACTGTGCCCCAGTCTCTTCACGGCAGGGAGCTCAGACCTGTGAAGGAAGGGGTGGCACAGGCTGGTGGTCAGCCCACAGGTATAGGAAGAGGGGCTGCCCCTCCCAGCCCTTGCCTGGGTGGGGGGTGACTTGCTCACCGTGGTTGTACTTGCACTGCTTCAGGGCCTCACTGAAGCCCTCGCACAGGGAAAGGTCACGCTGAGTGGTGGAGCAGTCCAGGAACTGCCTGATCTCGTAGGCGCAGGGCCCCAACTGTGAAGGCTGGGGGGCAGCGCGGGCCGGGGCCTAGGGTGGCGCAGGAGGTGGCAAGGTCAGCTCAGGCTGGGGGGGCCACCTACCCCTCCCCACAACCCCAGCCCGGGGGCTCGAAGGGTCCTAGGCAGTCTGAGGGACCCAGGGCCAGCAGACTCAGCTCCACCTGTTAAACAGGATGAGCCCACAGCCATCTTAATGCCACTCAGCCGATGATAAACAGCATCTCCCTGGTGCTTCCTAACGGGCATGTTGGGTAGGTGGGAGGGGTGGGAGAAGAATCTAGAAAAGCCTAGTGAGTGATCTGCTAGTACTCTTGGAATATGAGCCCTACCTCCACAAGTTCTAGCAACTTCCAAGCTCAGCCACACTGATCCTCATGACCCCTGACCCTGCCACTAAGTCTGCATTTGGCTCAGGATTGGTGGGGCACCTAGTGGGGGACAGGCCAGTCACCAGTTACCCTTTGCCCTTGGGCCCAGGGACTATAGTGCATGACCTGGCAGTAGGGAGGCAGGAGAATCTGGAACTTCAACACCTACTAGGGTTAGGTGACCTCGGGCCAATCTCTGAGTCCTAAGGGCCTGGATTTCCCCATCTCTAAAGGGCTGGTTGGCATCTGTCCCTAGAGTCCAGGGATCTTGGTCTCAGGGGAGGGCCTGGGAGAGCCTGCCTGTGAGCGACATAAGGGCAACAGCCCAGTGTTGGGCAAAGTCCTGGGCCTGAGGCAGCCCAGGAAATGCCAGGACACAACTCGGTGACATGCCAGGGGTACTCCCCGCTCCACGGCGTTCAGAGAAGTTGGCCTCAGCTTCTCCGGAGCGGTTGCTCACCTGCTGAGGGGCAGGTTGGGCGGGTTCTGAGCTCCCTCCGCTGAAGGCTCCAGTCAGGGCGCTGCCCACGACGTGTCCCACAGCCGAGCCCACGGCTACCCCAGCGGCCGTGGACGCCATCTGAGCCATCAGGCCTGGCTGGCCCGATGGCGCAGGGGCCGGCGCGGCAGCCGAGGGAGGTGGGTGAGCCGGAGGGTGGGCAGAAGGTGCGGCAGTGCGGCTGCGGGGTAGGGAGGCGCAGGGTTAATCCTGACCGGACCCCAGACCAGAGGCCAGAGGAGCAGGCAGCCCCTGGAAAGGCCCCTCTTTCCTCATCCCCTGGTGTAGGCGACCACAGTCTTAGACACGTGGTTGTGACTTTTCCCTACCCTCCCTCTTACCTCCTCCACCCCCACCCCCCAGCTAAGATGGCGCAGTAGTCGCCAAGGTCATGCTATCACGCCCTTGGGGGAGTACCCGCGCTTCCCGAGCCCTCTCCCTACGGGGCCCCAGTCCTGCTCACACCTGGCTGGCCGCGCGGACACGCTGCGGCTCCCCCGGGGCATGGTCGCGGCGGTGGGGCTCGGTTGAGCTGAGTCAGAGACCGAAACGGCGGCGGAGATTGTGTCTCCTGGACGGAGCCGGCACACCTTGTCACTGGCAGGCGCAAGGGGCGGAGCCTCGGGGACACGCCCCCAGGGGAGGCGCGGCCCCGCCGCAGCACTTCACTCCCGCGGGTTCCCTGGATTTACTCTTCCAGCATCCCTTCGCCTCGGCGACCTTTTCAGCTGGAAACGTGAGGCTGCGCCCTTCCTGCTCCTGTCCTGAGCTGTGTGGGCCCTGGGGACATGAGCCAGTGTCGCAGAGCGCGGCGAGTTTATGCAGGGGCGACGGGCCTGCGCTTTCAAAGACCACCGCGAAGCTCAGAGAGTAGAGTTGAGTGTTTTCCTGTGCTCCAGGGCAGGGAAGACTGGGAGGCCCCCGGTCGAGGCCCGCCTGGGAGGGGGCCCGAGGCGCCAGGATAGGCTGTGCTCCTTCCCTTCCTACGAGACAGGGTTTGTGGACTACTGCTTGGCGTTAGGGTCGCGAGGTGACGACAAGGCGCGGGGAGGAGACTAGAGCCGGGATCTGTTACCCTGGGAAAGGCCTTGGTCGGACCTGGCTCTAGAACCCCCGCCAGGGGGCGCCGCGAACCTCTCTTCGATTCAGTTCGGGAAAATAGGGCCGCTGGCAAGGGTAGCCTTGGGCAGCAGCACCCAGGGTGCAATGAGGCCCCCCGTGTGGCCCTCCACCCCACCTGAAGCCCCTGCCCGACGAATGCAGCGACTTACACCCGCAGACTTTACGCAACATTCAAGCATCGTGCCCATCCTAAAGGCTATGATCCGAGTACCCAGAGGCGTTTGTACATGGCTGAATCCTGTAACCTCTCGATTTTACCACCTTGGTTCCTGGCCAAGGGGAGAGAGGAGGTACGGATTTAGAATGCTTCCCAGCCTTTCAGGAACTCCGGGTTTTATGGTGTTTTCTGAGTGACTTAGAAGTGGTCATATTATTATCCCAAGGGGGGCTGACTTCTTTACTTCATCCCCCCACCATCACTCTCCTTTGTGCCATGTGAAGGGAAACTGAGGCCTGGAAGCACAAGAATTGTGGAGAAGATGAAACCACCCATAACAAAGGCCGGGAGGGGGGGGGGATGCATACTCAGAGCAGTGTGTACAGAGCACTTCCAGGCCACATATGTACTACTGCGTTCTTACCTCTCAGACTGCCTCTGAAGCAGGGTCCTCCCTTGACCCCTTGTCTGGGGGCCTGGGCCTGTTTTCTCCTCTCTCAAGGGGGAGTGAACACCATTTCAAGGTGAGGTAAACATGTCAAGAGTGGGCCATTTTCTCCGCACAGACATGCCAAGCTTGGTCCAACCTCTACTCTTTTATTCATGCAGTCTCTGCCCACCTGTTCTCATTTGCCAAACTGGCCCATCCTTCCAGGCTTATCAGGGTCCTCCTCCTGCAGGCAGCTCTCAGTGACCAGCCAACCTTACTGAATGCATGGTGAGCTGGTAACCATGGCCTGCCACCTTGGGTCTGCAATGCAGGTGGCTGCTACGTCAGCTCCCATGATTGGCGAACTGCAGGTTCCCCAAAGTACAGCCATACACCCTGGAGGCACTCAAGACCACCTAACAAACATTTTTTTATTGAAATCATTATGTATTTCCTTGTATATCAGAAAAATGTATAATTGGCTCATCAAGTCCAAGATTTCTTGACCAATATTGGTAAGAATGAGGCTGAAGTAAGCATTTCAATTTTTAAAATTGAGTCGCTTTAAAGAAAAAATTGTGAACAGATTTAGGTAGAAAAATTCACTGCTGTGGGCCATCTCCTTGCCCTCTAGGTGTCTCTGTGGAGCCTTCCTGGAGAAGCTGTGAAGGCTGCCTGGGCTGGGACCAGCGGCGAGGGTTGAATCAGCCTGATTTTCCTCCCAGCCTCCCTCCTTTCCCAGGCCTAGGCTAGGTGTCCACAGCTTCACCTAGTAACACTGGGGACCCTGCCCACCGGGACAAGAGCCACTGTCTGCTCTTTGGCTCAGCAGCGTCGCCCTTGATGGAGCAGATTGCCTGGGGAGGCAGTAAGGCCCTGGTCGTCACAGGGAGCTCCTGAGACTGGAGGGTCCCTTCCAGAGTATGGAAACCGCCGGCTCCTTTAGGTCTCAGGAGGCCTTGAGGAGCCTGTTAGTCCCTGATGAAGGGACAGCCTGGGCCCCTTCTCAGAGCGCCACTGTCCTCTGACAGCACCCTCCCTCCAGCTGATCACACCCCATTGTCTGCTGGTATGGGAAAGCCTGTTCTGGTCTTCCCCTCTTGGGGCCTTCGTTGCCCCATCTATAAATTGTCTAC